AAAATAAATGAACCATTTTGGTAGTTCATTGTTCTCTAATCTTTTGCTCCCAAGATTCAAGCAAAGTAATATACATTACACGTCATATTTGAATAGAGCTATAATGAGGGTATCACCAAAGATGACAACACTGAGTCAACCACAGTTGAGTTCTAAGACAGCTAAGCAAGATCTGTCTTGATTAGCACCTGGATGTCCATACACTACAGTAGGAAATCCCAGGACAGCAGATTAGATTGGGAAGTTATAAAAAAGCTCCCAAAAGAAGAAAGTGGCAAACCAATTTCTTACTCTGCTGAGAAAATGATATGGATTATCCCTGTAATCACCAGGAATCAAGTTCAATTTGGGGTAGTCTCTGTTTATAATAGCAGCATGTTAGGATTTGGTGTCTCTTGCTCTCTGCCAATAATATAGAAAAAATAAAATCCAAGTTCTCTTTCATATGGACAGCAAGAAGTTTATTTTTGTTCATTCTATTCCTGAATGAGAATTCATGAATGAACAAATCTCCTCGGAACATCAACAGTATTGTCTTTATCTTAAGCAACAGAACTTAAGCACAGCAGTGAGTCAAGAAGTACAAGTAGTTCTCAACTTACAACCAAAACTGAGCCCAAAATTTCAGTTGCTAAATGAGACGCTTGTTAAGTGAGTTTTGCCCCATTTTATGACCTTTCTCACCACAGTTGTTAAGCGAATCACTGCAGTTGTCAAGTTAATAACACGGCTGTTAAGTGAATCTGGCTTCCCCATTGATTTTGCTTGGCAGAAGGTCACAAAAGGTGACCCCCCACGTGACCCCGGAACACTGCTACCATCAAAAAATATGAGTCATTTGCCAAGTGTCCGAATTTTAATCATGTGACCATGGGGATGCTGCAATAGTTATCTGAAAAACGGTCATAAGTCACTATATTCAGTGCCGCTGTAACTTTGAATGGTCACTAAATGAACTGTTGTAGGTTGAGGATTACCTTTAATACATTTTGAGCCCTTTCTCACTCTTCATTCTCATTCTCAATGTTTAGTTATAGCAAGCTGAACAAGACCAAGCAATAAGATGTTACCGGGATGAGGGCATTGAACAGGAAAGGTAATAGATCAAATATGTATTTCTTCTTGTTTTCCCACTCCCACTCCTAGGACAGTGACAGTCTATCACCTTTTCCCTAAATAAAAAGACTAGCAAGAGTGAGAACAAACAGCGAGGAAAGATATTACCCTTTCATTGCCGGCCAGTATTGATTTATCCCTGGTGGAGGGATACCGGCATTCATACGTTCTCCATGCAAGAGAGGATACACCCAAAAATGGGTTGGGGGAGGAGGGAAAGAAGATTGACTTGGCTCTTTTCTCCACCCATGCTATTCTTTTGATCAAAGTCTACAATATTAAGGATAGGCTTCCAACATGTCTATTCTCTGATGTATTTTATTTTTAGTCTTCAACGGGAATGCCATCTTGTATGTAGTCAAAACTGCAGGTTCCACACATAAATGTCAGATGTCAACCGACGCCAGAGAACTATTGGCAGTGTGTTAGTTCAAGAAATCTTTAGAAAGAAAGCTAAAAATGGAGCTCTTAGGAATAAACATTAGTTGGGTATTGAAATGACTCGACAAGCCAAAATGTGGCTTACTGGTGAACATGACCACTGGTGAGTGTCTCCTTTCAAGCATGAAAGTTAAAAAGCAGTTGCCCAGTTTGTTTTAACTTACTTTGTCATCTTCACAGTAGTTCTGCAGCATCTAGCCAGAAAATGATCTACCACCAGCCACAGGCATCTTTCCTGAATTGTTCTGAAAATTTAAATGTCCACAGGCATGGAAGTGAGCTCTACCACACAAATCAGTGAAGAAAAAGTAAGATGCGCAAATAACTGGAAGAGGGCATCTGTCCATCTAGCCCAGGGGTAGGCAACCTTGGCTCTTTTATGACTCATGGACTTCAACTCCCAGAATTCCTGAGCCAGCCATGCTGGCTCAGGAATTCTGGGAGTTAAAATCCACGAGTCATAAAAGAGCCAAGGTTGCCTACCCCTGATCTAGCTCATTCCAGTTTCCCAACTGAAGAAGTTAGCAGAAAAGAGTAGTATTCTTATTCTTTTCTAATCCTGTTCTTATTTAGCATGACATGTTAAACTAATAGCCTTGTTCATAAAAAGCATTGCCCATCTTGCAGAATGGAAGGACCTGAGAGACAGCAGGGTGTGACAGCCATACAACATGGTTCACACTACATATTAATGGTTCATAGTAATCTCACAAGCTCAGGTTGCCCAAGTTGCTTAAACGGGTTACTTACACACCTAGCAGCTACATTTACTAAAAGCTAACTTGGTTAGTTTTTCTCTAGCAAGAAAGAAAAAACAGGTCATTTGGTTAGACTAAGGTTCAATGTACTATACAAACTCAGTACACTGGCTGATTCAGTAATCACATTATTTATGTTGGGTGAATGCAGCCTATGATGTGGTCCAGCTATATTAAATTTTGAACGAAGACTGAATGAAATACAGATTATAATATCCCATAATATTATCCAGTATTTTTATTTCCTTACTGCACTGTAGGTTAGATAGAAAGAATAATACGTAACAACCTTCCAACATCATTCACTATTTTATTCCAATATCATTCTCTATTCTACCTCTGTTGTAGATCGGGTGGTTGTGCTAAGACATAGCTTACACGTACCTTGCAACATAATCCATTGTTAATTAAATCCTTTGTTCTTGTTCGGTTGCAACAAAGCCCCATCTCAGAGTAAATTAACCTCTACTGACTTGAAACAGCGTAACTGCACTTCTCAATCTTCAAAAGCATAGTTAAAAGTTTTGGAGTTAAAAGACGATTCCTGTCAGAGCAGAAATCCTTGTATTTTGACATACGCTTTCCCAATGGGAAAAAAAAAAAAAACATAGGTCAGACAAATCCGGAGTGGTTTGTCTGACACATATGCCAGGCATGGTGCTAAGACAGCCCAGAGCAGCTGGCTGTGGTGGAGGAAAGCACTGAGCAGCTACCAAAGGGGAAGACAGCATGACCTCACCTGACATCCACAAGTCAGATAGTCCAGTCTGACATATGGGATTGGACCCACTGTCTCCACTTCCCTGTTGCAGATAATTAATTTCTAGGCTTCTCAACTTAAGCAACTTTAAAATGTGTGGACTTCAACTCCCAGAATTCTCCAGAGAGCTATGCTGCCTGGAGAATTCTGGGACTTGAAGTCTACCTACCTTACAATGGCCAAGGTTGAAAAACACTGCCCTAGTGCTGTCAAAACAGATATGGAGCTATACCAGCTTTCCCTCCTTAATGAACTTTCTGGTAAGCAAAAAGATAGAAGAGGTGATGGGGAAAATATGGGAGATTTTGTAAAATGCACCAGTTTCTTAAAAATTCCTTTGCCCAATTGTTCCTCGGGTTTTAAAGAAAGGTCTGCTTTCAAAATATTAGCTGTGCAGTAAAGTGATAGTTTCTTAGGAAACTGACTTTGGTATTATAGGCTATCATGGCTACTTCTAAAGGAGCAGACTTCATTTATTTATTGCCACGACGTGAGGCAGTGAAAGATTTAAAAATGGCAAAATGTTTATGGAAACCGATGCTGTCATTGTGTAATTTTGTTGATTAACATTTTTTTTTTAAAAAAAAAAAATCAAACCCCACTAGAATACATTTGAGAACCAGAAGAAGCTGAAAACTATCCCTTCAGGTGCACTTTTAAAAGAACCTACATAAAATGCTATTTGCTAACACTGTATTTCCTTTGGCTCTAGGGACAACTAATAATCTTTTACTAATTCAGTGTTCGCTTTCACTAGCGCACACATCGAAATGTCACTTTTCACTCAACGGGAAGATCCTTGGTGCAGAGGAAAATAAATCAGGTTCTCATTTACCTTCTCTATTCACAAGCCTCAACAGATTCCGGCTCAAGCTTTAAATATACTGGGGGGAAGGGGAGAAGATTGCAAGAGGTTCATCCCTAAAGTTCTTTCCACCTTAGGTGGCTTTACTTAATCAGAAAAGCCCACTTCGCCTAACCAACTGAGATTAATAAAACCTATTTTCATCCTAAAACTGCAGTTTAGAATCCCAGATGGAGGGAATTTAGCAGTCAGAAAGATGAACAGACATGGCATCTATAATTACAAAAACTGTGTGGTATTATATGTCACTAGGAATTTTAAACCCAGGAAGGCAGGAAAAGGACACCTCCTCCTCCTGGCTGAAATAAATCAGAGCTTCACTGCCTTGCCGGGTTAAGGACCTCAGCTAAACTGATATAGGCAGAAACACAGAGTATGACATGTATCACATGGTACATAAAGCACACACACCGCATGCATGAACGTTAAGCTCCCCCCCCCAAACTGTATACATACGGTCTACTTATTTTCAAGAAACAACAAAGGTAACTATCACAGTGTGCAAAATAAGACCCCTTCATTGATGCACCGAATGCCCTGGCAAATAAAAGGAGAGGAAGCAGGAAAAGGCGGCAAAGAAGGGAGAAGGAACATCAGGAATGTCATTTGGAGGTGGCAGCGCTCAGGGACACTCACGCCCGCTCCCAATAAGGCAAACTACATTTCCCACCCACTCCCCCAACCCTCGTCCTTTTCAAACTGTTAGGAAAGGACCTCCTCGCTAGCGGATGGGTGGTTCCGTCTCTACTCCGGAACGTCTGAACTGCAAAAACACGAGTAGAAAAGGGAGAGACTTAATCCCGCGAGGAAGGAGCCGCGAGGGTGAGCTAAAGCTTCCCGGCGAGGTGGCCGAGAGCAGCGCAGCCTCCCCTCCAGCTGCACAAGGCAGGCAGCGAGAGCCCAGTCCGCGGCTCCCGCTTTCCAGCGGCTCAGCTCTCCCGAAGGAGAGCCGGACCGTCAGGGGTGTGGCGCGCTTGCCTCGACGGCTCGGGGCGTCCGTAATTCGGACGCGCCTACAGGGCGAGATCGGTCTGCGAAGGGGCGCAACAACGACGGGTACCTCGCAGCCGTACAGCTGCCCGAGCTGCTCCACGATCCACTCCTCCAGCACGAGCCTTTTGCGCAGCTCTTTCCGATCGTACTTGACCGTCACTTTGCCCTGCTGGTGGCGCCGCTGCTGCTGGACTTGGACCACGGCGGCTGGGGCGACCGAATCTTCACGGGAGGCGCTTCCCCCGCGCGGGCTCTGAAAGAAAACCCGGGTCCCTCCGCCGGTGCCTCCCCCGGCGGCGGCGGCGGCGGGGCCCGGTTCGCTACCTCCGGTAACCACCGACATGTTCCAGCTCAGCCTCGTGGGCAGATCCGTTCCTCCGGGCGATCGGGGCTTCGGGGAGCGTCGCCGGAGGTATGGCTGCCGACGAAGATGACCTCCTCCGGCCACGCCGCCGCCGCCGCCGCCGCCGTGTGGGAGCGCTCGCCTCGCCTACACCTGCGGTTCGTAGCCTCTCACGGCACTGCTCGCTCCTCCGCCGCCGGTTCGGCAGGAGGAAGGCGGGGTGTCCAGCAGACTGAAAACGGGGCGGGGACAGCGCCTTAAAGACACCGCGAGCGCCTCGCTACGACAGACATTTGCCCCTTCTGGGTCCTTAGGGGCCGCTCCGGGCCTTTCCCTCGACGGGTCGCCTGCGCCTTTAAGGCGATTGCAGAGCGACTATTTTGGGGCCGACTTAGAGCTGTTGGGGGTCTGGATTGAAATCCCCTCGGCAGAGCTTTGCCCTCCTGTTCACGCAGCTCGTTGAAGGCCAAAAATCATAGGGGGGGGGGGGGAGAGATTCCCGTCCCGACTGATCTTTTTCTCTGATACTAACATAATTTTGGTTCCGCCAAATGTTTGTGTGGGACTTCAAAAGTCTCTTGCATCCGACAAGTCATCTGGAAGAGACAACAAAAGCGGTGAACATATTTGTGCAGCTGTGTTAACAGGCTGTGGTTTGCTTATTTGTGGCTTGTAAATCAAGATGGGCATTTAAATCTCACATTTAGCTATATGTGTGAGCAAAGAAAGTACCGAAATCATTAGGAGTAAGCAAACTATGGGTTTACAGGGGTGATCGAGATCTGTTTCCATGAATAACCATTGTTGGCTTAGCTGTGATTAGTTGAAAAAAATGTATTCATACAAATTCATGCATAATTAAAAAATAAGACTGTGGAATCTGTGAATTCAGGATTAAAGTGGTATGATTCTTCAAGCAGTTATGTTTGGTCAATCTTAGCCACCCAGTTTTTGTTCTTGGGAATTTAAAACAATAGTAAGGAAACTAAAATGTTTGGACACTTGGATGGTCTTGCAAAAGTCTCTATCTTCAGGAGTACATAAAACACAGCTGCTGTTGAATAATATAATCCTAAAGTTGCCGACACAATAACTGGAGCATATTAAATTCCCCTGGATTTATTTCTGTTGTTATTCTCTGGATCTCTCTGAATCCTTCTTAGTGTTATGCTCCAAATTGTACAAAATATTCAACATGGGATTTGGCCAACACAATGAAATGGAGCACTTTCTTCCTGTGTTTTTAAAAGTATCCAAATTGTCCTTGCCTTTTTTGCAGCTACATTGCACCATTCACTCATATATTGTATGTAATTATCTACTTTTTCAAAATGTTTATGTAAGTACTATTACCAAGCCAGGTGTCCTCCATCCTATACCTGTAGATTTGATTTCTGATTCCTAAGGGAAGAAATTTGCATTTGATACTGCTAAATATCATTACATTATCTTCAGGGAGAAAGTATTCAAGCAAGGAATATAATTATGTAATTATACAAAGTACTAGATAATTGCAATAGAAAATGCCTAACTTTGATGACTAAAAAGCAAAGGCTGACGTCTTAATTAGATGCAATATTCTAAAAAGCACATTAACTAATATATATTATGGTTAAGCCAAATAAAGGTTCACAAAATGTACAAGCTTTCAAAGATCTCCACAATTTTTTTTTCTTAAATTATTACAAAAACATCTGAGGAATGTAAAAGAAAATAAAAGAATTTATATTTAATTTAAATAATAAATTCTTCCTAGTCAAGTGCAAGGTAAAATGTAGGAAAGGACTAAAGAGATTCAAATTAAGCTCTCTCTATTAACTGTGACTGTATACAAGACTCCCTCAAAGGTTGTCAGTATGAAAATATTAACAAATATCTGTAACTAGTGAGGTGAACTGTATAACCCATAAGCCATCATGTATTCTAATTCATGGCTATCAAGTGAACTTCGGTACCATTCTTTTCTCAACCTGCTCTTTGTAACATGTCTTGTATTAAGACATCTGAAGACCATTTCTTTTTCAATCAGCCTACTGTACTGTAGCATTTAGAATAGTATTTATAAAAGGTAAAGGTTTCCCCTGTCCAGTCGTGTCTGACTATAGGGGGCAGTGCTCATCTCCCTTTCTTAACAGAGGGAACCAGCGTTATCCAAAGACACTTCTGTGGTCATGTGGCCAACAGTCAAGGAACACTGTTACCTTTCCAATGAAGTGGTACCTATTTTTCTACTCACGTTTGCATGCTTTCCAACTGCTAGGTGGGCAGAAGCTGGAGCAAGTAATAGGAGCTCACCCCATAGCACAATGCTAGGGTCTTGAACCCGAGTAGTCAGCTTTTCTGCTGACACACTCAGCACCCCCCCAAAAATAATACTTATATCAACATCATAATAGTACTGTCTTTAAAAACAGCATACTTGGCTACTTCTTTAGCAATACACAGCAAATACCATATTATTCCATTTTTTCTGTTCCAGTGCTGGATCAGAAAACCAAGTTTTAAATAAAAATGTGTCTGTTACTATCTCTGATATATGATGACCTGGGGAAGGTAATTCATCATTGTTGGGAGGAGAGCAGTCTAACCATATTCAGTGAAGCATACTTCAAGAATAACTATTAGAAGGGGAGAGAGACCAAGTAAAATTTGCAGCTCCCTCACATCCCTGCCTCATCTTCCTTTCCCTTTGGCAGGTTCATGCATCATACTAAGCTACAATGCAGCTTATGGATGTTACGTAAACCCAGTTATGGTAGTTTGATTATAATTTATGGCACATTGTATGAAATTAGCCAGCTAGGTATTTTTGAGAAACAATACTTAAAACCACAGATCAGTACAATATAGGAATGTAAGCATTCTAATATGTTAGGGTCATATCAAACTAAATGAAATTAGCACTTCCTAGCCTTTGAAACATGAGTACATAACTCTGATTCCCATTTCCTAAACAGTGATCAACACTGATTGGCTTGTTTAATCAGTGGTCCACTTGCCAAAAAGATTCTGGGTGGCTAACAAGACATTAAAAAACAGTCAATGAAATTTAAAAAATAGATGTACATTCTGGTTGTTACAACACATCATACCATTTTCCAACTTGGGCACAATTCACATCCTAAATCTGCCAGAAGGTTGGACTGGATGACCTGTAAAGTGATTTCCAACTACAGGCGTCCACAGAGGGTCAAGGCAATGGGGATAAATGGCACATGCACAATGACAGTGTATAATGCATTATCATGTAAATGCCATAACTTATGTACTTGTGTCAGATGTTATGATGCAATGCTGCTATCAACAATGATATCAAAATGATAAATGTCATGACATAAGTGCCATACTATCTTAACAGCACATTTAAAGGGTGAGTTTGTTCTCTGATGTCACAGTGCATATTTTGTCACTTGGCCCCATCCCTGCCTTTAATGGGTACCTACACACAGCTGTAGTATTTGTATGATGATACTAGCATGTAGGTATCATTTTGACATCACTGTAATTTGTTATGGATACTGCCTCTTCCAACTTACACGTTCTATAAAAACAGCAAAAAAGCTTTCGGCCATCAAATGCCATTTTATTTCCAATGAAATAAATTGAAATGGTCAGCAATCTTGAACAATTTGCTTCAATCCCAGTAAGATGATATTTGGGGAACCCACGTTAACATTAAGCCTCATATTGTGGACAACAAGTAGATTTATTACAGAATGTTCACTGTACAAAATAAGTTTTGTGTGTGTGTATGTGTGTGTGTGTGAGAGAGAGAGGGGAGGGAGGGAGGGAGAGAGAGAGAGAGAGAGAGAGAGAGAGAGAGAGAGAGAGAGAGAGAGAGAAGAACAATCCTGTTTATATATACATTCTCAATCCATATTGTTGCATAGAGTTCATTTGTTTCAAAAATCCAAATATTCTTTCAGGCTTTTATAAGGTTTGATCAGTCCACTTAAGCACTCCATGCATTCTTTCTATAGTTTTACTATAGTTACTACACCATGGAAGTTGTATTTCAGCATAGCTTTTTTCTGCAGGTGTCTAAATCATTGTTTCCATCTTACTGTTTTCAGTGTTTCTCAATTTCAGCAATGTTAAGATATATGGACTTCAACTCCCCTCTGTAGCCAGCCATGGGGAATTAAAGTAGCTGAAACAGAGAGCACTGGTTTAAGTCAAAGGGTTAACACATTTGTCTTTAAAGTCAGCAAAGCTCAAGGGCAGACCACAATCAATATTTCTGTACCAGAACCAATACGACATTAATTGTCCATCGCAGCTGTGCTGTTGTTTAAAACCTTTTTGCATTATTGATTTTTTCACCTTCTCCCCATAAAAAATAACCAATTTTCACCTCCTTATAAATGAAGCAAATTCCTTTTTCTTTATAGCCATATACACAAATATGTCAGAGTTAACATGCTGTTTTGTTTTGTGTGAATGTGAAGAGAAAAAGAGCGGGGAATATAGATCACCGATGCTGATCTAGTCTCAGAAAAATGGAAGCATAAATGGATACCTTAGATCAGAAAGTTAATCTTTGCCAGTGAAGAGCATCCAAAAGTCAGGGGGATCTAGTAGCACCTTTCCAGACTCACACATTTTATTTAAAAAAAACATGTTTTGTGAGCTGATTTTGCACTTTAATAAAGTGTGCTAGTCTGAAAAGTACTACCAGACTCTCTTTACTTTGCTAATACTCTATATTCCATTAATTTCTTCCCCTCTCCACCCCTCCCAGGACATTCTTTTCATTGAATGAATGAAAATACTTAACTAATATATCCTAGGTCTACGTAATTGAATATATGGCAAAATAAATGTGCTTAATGTATACATTATTAAATATAAGCATAGTATTGAAGATACTCATGGTTTAATCCTATGCATCTGTCACTGAGGTCACCTCCAATAAATATGATGGGACTTAATTCTGAATTCAGTAAGACCTTCTCCCAAGCATACTTAAGCAGCACATAAGGCAGTTTGGACTAGTGGTTAAGGCACAGGCTAGAAAGTGGGAGACCGTGAGTTTAAGTCCCACCTTAGCCATGAAAGCCAGCTGGGTGACTTTGGGCCAGTCACTCTCTCTCAGCCCAACTCACTTCATAAGGTTGTTGTTGTGGTGAAAATAGGAGGAGGAAGGTGTGTTGGATATGTTTCCCCCGCCTTGAGTTATTTGTAAAATAATAATAAAGGTGGGATATAAATAAATAAGATTGCAGTTTGATGCCTCATGTGAAGCTCTCTCTCTTATTTAATTCACACAAAGTCATTCCAAGAAGTCCTCAATTTATGACCACAATGGAGCCTAAAATTTATGTTGCTAAACGAAAAGGTTACGTGAATTTTGCCCCATTTTACGACTTTTCTTGCTGCAGTTGTTAAGTGAATCGCTACAATTGTTAAGTTAGTAACACGGTTGTTAAGTGAATCTGGCTTCCCCGTTGACTTTGCTCGTCCGAAGGTCGCAAAAGGTGACTCCCACATGACCCCGGAACACTGCAACCATCAAAAATACAAGCCAGTTTCCAAATTTTGATCACGTGACCATGGGGATGCTGCAATAGTTGTAAGTGCGAAAACGGTCATAAGTCTCTTTTTTCAGTGGTGGTGTAAGTGTGAATGGTCACTAAATGGAACTGTTGTAGGTTGAAGACTAACTGTACTGTTTGTGTTGAGCCATATACAGATGCATTACAAAGTAAGCTGATGCCCCTATATTTTATATCCTGAGATTCCTTTCCTTCCCCTATACACGCTTTCTAACGCCTGGACACTCAGTGGATTAAGGTAATCCTCGACTTACGGTAGTTCATTTAGTGAACATTCAAAGTTACAACAGCAGTGAAAAATGCGACTTATGACCGTTTTTCAGAGTTACAACTTTTGTAGCATCCCCAGAATCATGTGATCAAAATTCAGATACTTGTCAACTGGTTCATATTTATGCCCTTTGCTATGTCCCAAGGTCATGTGATCCCCTTTTGCAACCTTCTGACCAGCAAAGTCAATGGGGAAGCCAGGATGCTGACTTATCAACTGCAGTCATTCACTTAACAACTGTGGTAAGAAAAGTCGTTAAATGGGGCAAAACTCACTTAACATGTCTCACTTAACAACAGAAATTTTCGGCTCAATTGCGCTCATAAGTTGAGGACTACCTGTAGTTGCACGAGCATTTCAGCTCTTGTTCCTTTTTTGTCCTCCAAAGGCATTAAAGGAAGCATATTTGCCTTTTTTTTCCATGGCTCCTAGAGCTTTCTTCTATATCAATGGTGGCGAATCTCTGGCAGAGGTGGCACTCAGAGCCCTCTCTGTGGGCACGCATGCTATCGCCCCAGCCCCGCCTCCCCCCACGGCTCCCTCCTCACCAGCAGCCACCCCAGAGGAGAGTCACCCCCAGGCACAGCCCGCATGGAGTAGCGTAGCCAAGGACATGGCAGCCGGGCAGCAGGGACAAGACTAACCCTAACCCTAATCCTCGCACCCCATCATGCACAGATGAAGTTGTGGGGTGCGGGCACAGGGTGTGGCTGCCA